GGGTCATTTCATAAATGATAACCAAGTGAGTTCATCAAGAGGGCATAAGAGGCCAGGTACGGTGACTCACACCTATAATCCCAGCACTGTGGGAGGCCAAGGTGGGTGGATCACCTGAGTTCAGAAGTTCGAGACTAGCTGGTCAACATGGGTGAGAAACCCCAACATGATTTAAAAAAACCCCAAAATTAGTCGGGCATGGTAGTGCATGCCTGAAATCCCAACTGCTCAGAAGGCTGAGGCACAAGAATCACTTAAACCTGAAAGGCAGAGCTGCAGTGAACCAAGATCACACCACTGCACTCTAGTCTGGGTGCCAGGAGTTTGAGATAAGCCAGGGCATCTTAGTGAGAGACCCTATCTCTATTTAAAAAAAAAAAAAAATTAGGCTGGGTGCAGTGGCTCATGCCTGTAATCCCAGCACTTTAAGAGGACAAGGCAGGTGGATCACAAGGTCAGAAGATCAAGAGACCATCACGGCCAACATGGTCTCTCCACCTCCTGACCAAAATACAAAAATTAGCTGGGTGTGGTGGTGTGCGCCTGTAACCCCAGCTACTCAGGACGCTGAGGAAGGAGAATCGACTGAACCCAGGAAGTAGAGGTTGCAGTGAGCTGAGATCATGCTACTGCACTTCAGCCTGGCAACAGAGTAAGACTCTGTCTCAAAAAAAAAAAAAAATTAGCTAGGCATGGTAGTGTATATTTGTAGTCTCTACTCCAAAAAAAAAAAAGTTAGCCAGGCATGGTAGCGCATGTCTGTAGTCTCAGATACTTGGGAAGCTCGGGTGGGAGGATTCACTTGAGCCCAGGAGGTTGAAGGTGCAATGAGCTATGATGGCACCACTGCAGCCTAGGCAACAGAGTGAGACCCTGTCTTTATAAAAAAAATTAACACATGACTTATCAACATGTTTGGGATACAACTAAAGCAGCATTCATAGGGAAATTTATAGCATTTAACACTTACATTGGAAAAGAAGAAAGATCTCAAATCAAATGACCTAATACTCCACCTTAAGAAACTAGAACAGAGCACATTAAATCCAAAGTAAGCAGAAGAAAGGGAATAATAACAATAACAACAAACATCAATAAAACAGAAAACTGTAACAATGAAACCAAGAGCTCCTTCTTTGAGAAGATCAGTAAGATTAAAACACTTCTGGTCAGATTGATGTAACAAAAAAGAAGAGAAAGCTAGGTATGGTGGCGTAATCCTAGCACTTCTGAAGGCCAAGTGGGGAGGATCATTTGAAGCCAGGAGTTCAAGACTAGCCTTGGCAACATAGAGATCTTGTCTCTACAAAAATAATTTAAAAATTAGCTGTGTGTGGTGATGCACACCTCTAGTCCTAGCTACTCAGGAAGCTGAGGTGGGAACATTGCTTGAGCCCAGGAGGTGGAAGATGCAGTAAGACATGATCTTGCCACTGTACTCCAGCCTGGGCAAAAGAACGAGATTCTGTCTCCTAAAAACAAAAGAAAGAAAAGAAGAAATTAAATATGTAGTTTAAAACCTGCCCATGAGAAACTGCAAGGCCCAGACAGCTTTACTTCTGAAATCTACCAAACATTTAAAGAAGTAACATCAATTCTGTACAATCTCTTCCAGGAAACAGAAGTGAAGAAAACATATCCCAACAGATGCCATGATGCCAACATTACCCTAATGGCAAAACAAGAAAAAAAAAAAAAAAAAGCATTATAAGAACCTATAGACTAATAATACTCATGAAGACAAAACTCTTTTACAATTTTAGCAAATCAAAGCCAATAATACATAGAAGAATAATGCATCATGACCAAGTGTGGGTCATCTCAGGAATGCAAGGTTGGCTTAACATTCAAGCATCAAACAACTCAACCTGGTAAAAGGCATCTATGAAAAACCTACAACACCATACTTAATGGTGAAATACTGAATGCTTTTCCTCTAAGAGACATGAACGGTTACTCTTATGACATTTACTTAACAATGTAATGGAGATCTTTTAACCAGAACAAAACAGCAAGAAAAAGAAATGAACCTAAACAGATTGGAAATGAAGAAGTAAAATTATCTTTATTCACATATCACATGGTTGCCTCTGTAAAATCTTAAGAGATCTTAAAAAAAAACAAAAAACCTACTAGAATAAATGAGTTAAGAAAGGTTCCAAGATACAAGATCAATATCTGAAAATATATTTCTATATTCTAGCAATAAACAATCAGTACGTTGAAATTTTAAAAATAAAATACCATTTGTAATAGTTAATGAAAATATTTATCCTGACTGGGTGCAGTGGCTCACACCTGTAATCCCAACACTTTGGGAGGCCAAGGCGGGTAGATCACATGAGGTCAGGTGTTCAAGACCAGCTTGGTCAACATGGTGAAACGCCATCTCTACTTAAAAATACAAAAATTAGCCAGTCGTGGTGGTGGGCACCTGTAATCCCAGCTACTCAGAAGGCTGAGGCAGGAGTATTGCTTGAACCCAGGAGGCAGAGGTTGCAGTGAGATGAGATTGTGCCATTGCACTCCAGTCTGCGCAACGAGTGAGAGCGAAACTCCTTGAGAAAAAAAAAAAAAAATTGATCCCTATGTATTTAATATGGGTAACTCAGATAAAAGCTATATATGTTGTACATGCACACTGAACACTACACAATACTGCTAAGAGAAACTAAAGATGGCCTAGGCCAGGCATGGTAGCTCATGCCTATAATCCCAGGACTTTGAAAGGCTGAGGCAAGAGGCTGGGCACAGTGGCTCATATAATCCCAGCACTCTGGGAGGCTGATCCAGGCAGATCACTTGAGGTCATCAGCCTGGCCAACACTGTGAATCCCTAGCTCTACTAAAAATACAAAAATTAGCTAGGTGTGATGGTACGTGCCTGTAATCCCAGTTACTCGGGAGGTTGAGTCAGGAGGATCACTTAAACCCACGGGATAGAGGGTACAGTGAATGGAGATAGTGGCACTGCACTCAAGCTTGCATGGCAGAGCGAGACTACTCAGTCTAAAACAAAACAAAAACAAAACAAAAAAAAAAACACTGAGCCAAGAGAAGTGCTTGACCCAAGGAGTTTAAGACCAGCCCAGGCAACATAGCGACACTGTCTCTACAAAAAAATTAAAAATTAGCTGGGTGTTGTAGCATATGCCTGTAGTCCTGGCTATCCATGGGGCTGAGGCAGGGGGATCCCTTGAGCCCAGGAGGTCAAGACTACAGAGAGCCGTGACTGCGCACCACTGCATTCCAGCCTGGGGAACAAAGCAAGACCATCTCAAAAAAAAAAAATTAAAAAGATGGCCTAAATAAATAGATATACCTTGCTTATGGGTGAGAAAATAATACTGTTTAGATATCAATTCACATCAAATTGATTTAAAGATTCAGCACAGTCCCAATCAAAATACCAGGAAGATTATTTATAGAAACTGACAAACTGATTCTAAAATTCATTTGGAAATACAGCCAAGAAACCATGAATGGCCAGAACAATGTTTTTTTTTGGTTGATATAGGCTGCAGTGCAGTGGCACAATCACAGTTCACTGCAGTCACCACCTCCCAAGCTGAAGCAAGCCTCTCACCTGAGTCTCCCAAGTAGCTAGGACTACAGAAGCTTGCCACCACACTCACCTAATTTTTTTATTTTTTGTAAAGATGAGGTCTAACAATGTTGTCCAGGCTACAGAAAAACTCAGAAAAAGAACAAAGTTGGAGGACTTACCTAGTTCTAAAACTTTCTTTTTGAGGCAGTATCTCACTCTCTATCATCCAGGCTATAATACAGTGGTGCAATCATAGCTCATGACAGCCTCAAACTCCTAGGCGTAAGCGATCCTCCTGTCTCAGCCTCCCAAGTAGCTAGGGCTAGAGGCATGAGTTCCCACATGTACCTAATTTTTTTTTTTTTTTTTTAGAGACAGGGTCTTGGTATGCTGCTCAGGCTGTTCTCAAACTCCTGGGCTCAAACAGTCCTCCTGTCTCAGCCTCCCAAAACACTGGGATTACAGACGTTAAGTCCCTACAGTTGCCACAAAACTTGAAAATATATAGTAATCAAGACATTTTGTTATGGTGTCAAGATAACCAGTACAACTTAAGTCCAAAAATACATCATATTTCCATGGTTTACTGATTTTTTTTTCTTCTGTCTCTGGTGCTACAATCAACTAATTTTTCATAAAGGTGCAAAGACAATTTAGTGATAAAGGGATTATCTTTCCAACAACTGAACATCCATATGCAAAAAATAAACTTGTTCCAGCTTCACACCACAAACAGCAATTAACTCAAAATGGATCAATGACCCAAATACAAAAGCTAAAACTGTAAGACTTCCAGAAGAAAATATAGGAAAAATATTTGTGACCTCTAGGTAAGCAAACATTTCTTTTTCATTTCTTTTCTTGAAAAAAGTGGCACAGTCTTGCTCACTGTACCCTCAACTTCCAGGGCTCATGTGATCCTCCTACCTCAGTCTCCCAAGTAGCTGGGACTACAGGCGTGGACCACCATGCTCCACTGACTTTTGTGTTTTTTATACAGACAGGGTTTCACTATGTTGTTCAAGCTGTTCTTAAACTACTGAACTTAAGTGATCCACCCGCCTCGGTCTCCCAAAACACTGTATTACAGGCATGAGCCACCATACCTGGCCTAATTTTTGAATTTTTTATAGAGACAAGTTCTCCCTATGTTGCCCAGGCTAATCTTGAAATCCTGGGCTCAAGTGATTGGCCTGCCTCAGCCTCCCAAAGTGCTCGAATTACAGGCATGAGCCATAAGCCCAGCCAAGATTTCTTAGAACACCTACAGCACAATTAATAAAAAGAAAAAAAAAGGGTCAGGTACAGTGGCTCATGCCTGTAATCCCAGCACTTTGGGAGGCTGAGGCAGGTGGATCATTAGGTCAAGAGATCAAGACCTTCCTGGCCAACATGGTGAAACCCATCTCTACTAAAAATACAAAAATAATTAGCTGGGTATGGTGGTACGCACCTGTAGTCTCAGCTACTTGGGAGGCTGAGGCAGAAGAATCGCTTGAACCCAGGAGGTGGAGGTTGCAGTAAGCCAGAGGATGCAGTGAGCCGAGATTGCGCCACTGCATTCCAGCCTGACAACAGAGTGAGACTCCACCTCAAAAAAAAAAAAAAGAAAAAAAAATGAAATTTCCCAAAACAAAAAATGCACTCTTTAAAATACACTGAAAAGAATAAAAAGACAAATCCCAGCCTATTTAACAAAAGACTTAAATTGAGAATATATAAAGAATTCTCTAAGCTCCATAAGAAAACTACCAGTTTTCAAATGGGCATAAGATTTCAACAGACATTTTAGCAAAGGAAAAACAGCCGATGGCAAATAACCACATGAAAAAATGTTTAAAAACAAAAACAAGGCCAGACACGGTGGCTTATGCCTGTAATCCCATCACTTTGGGAGGCCGAGGCGGGTGCATCGTCTGAGGCTGGGAGTTTGAGACCAGCCTGACCAACATGGTGAAACTCCAGCTCTACTAAAAATACAAAAATTAGCCAGGTATGCTGGGAGGAACCTGTAATCCCAGCTACTTGGGAAGCTGAGGCAGGAGAATCACTTCAACCTAGGAAGCGGAGGTTGCAGTGATCCTCAATTGCACCAATGCACACCAGTCTGTACAACAGCATGTGACTCTGTCTCAAAAAAAAAAAAAAAAAAGAAAGAAAGAAAGAAAAGATGTTCAGCATTATTCATTATGAAAGTACAAATTAAAACCACAAGATACTACACCCTACATACCTACGGAGATGACTAAAACTGAAGATGACAGACCACACCAAGTACTGGGAAGGATGTGGAGCAAATGGAAGCTTCATTCACCAATGGTGGGACTCTAAAACACTTCAATCCCTTTTGGAAACAATTTTGGAGTGTCTTAAAATGTTAACTACATGCCTACTCCAGGACCAAACTGTTTTACTCCTAGATATTTACCTAAGAGTAATGAAAACACGCCCTAACAAAGACTTGTTTGCAAATGTTCATAGTAGCTTAATTTGTAATGGCACAAAGTGAAAAACGACCCAGATGCCCATCAACAGATGAATGGAGAAACGAACTGCAATCCAACCATAAAATGGGATACTACTCAGCAATACGATGAAGTACTGTTACATGTCACAAATGGGATAATGTTGAAGTAATTATGCTGAGTGAAGGAAGCAAGATAATATAAGAATATATACTGTACAATTCCACATCATCAACATTCTAGAAATCTAAACTAATTTATCTACAGTGACAGAAAGCAGACCAGTGGTTGCCGGGTAGGAGTGGATGAGGGGTGGGGGAAAGGATGAAAGAGTGATTTCAAAGGGGCATCCGGGAACTTTTGAGAGTGATAAACAAGTTCATTATCTTAATCTTGATGCTAGTTCCATGGGCGTATACAAATGTCAAAATGCATCAAATTATGTATTTTAAATATGTATAATTTATTATACATCAATTATACCTCAATAAAGCTGGGAAAAGAGAGAGAAAGAGAGGAAGGGAGGGAGGGAGCAAGCGCAAAAACTACCAATAGCATAAAAGATAGGCACCTAATTCTGGACACCGGGAGCTTCTGAATTTTGTCTTGGTCCTCTCTCTTGCTGTCCAGGTGCTAGTGCTGGGTTTTCATCCACACCCTACTTTCATTAAGCGCAAAAGTGATAGGAAAGCTGTCTGTGGGGAATGAATTATGGACTTAGAAAGGGAAAAAATGAGGGCAAACAGAACGTTCATTCTGTAATTTAAAACCCCTTGGCATAACAGACACCTCTAGGTAGGTGGTGAGATTCTAGGTGATTTTTCTTTAGTTTCTTTAAATTTTTCTGTACTTTACAAATTCTTTACAAGCATTATTTGGCTCTCTGGAGGAAAAAAAAGAATCAGTTTTAAAAGAACCAATTTAAATCTCCATTAAGTAAACAACTATTCAAAACGAAACCAAGGAGTTTTTTAAATCCTAGTAACTAATGAATAGCACCAGAACATACACATATGAATCTGAGCATTAATTTAGATCAAAGAACAGGGAGACTGCATTTATAAAGAGTAAATATTTACAACATATGTAGAAGGCCAAAACTTCAAAAATGGATGTCCCAAATTCTGAATGTTGATAGTCAACCACTGAGTTGGCTTCTATCTAATTAAAGACATTTTAATGTTTTAACTGATTTCCTGCCATTTAGGTTGAAGATGAGGTTCTCAAATGCTAAAGGGAAAGTCCAGTCTGAATTCCAGGAGGCTGAGGACAGTGGCGAGAGGGTTCCTCTCCTCTAAGGCTTATAACCCTGTAAATGAATCAAGTCTTCCAACATGGTATAAATGCCAGGAGAGGCAGGATTTCTTAACACCCTGCTTGTCCCAAGTTGCTGATGTCAGACTTTTGTTTGTTTGTTTGTTTAGACAGGGTCTTGTTCTGTTGCCCAGGCCGGAGTACAGCAGTGCGATCACAACTCACTGCAGTCTCAACCTTCCAGACTCAGGTAATCTTCCTGCCTCAGCCTCCTGAGTAGCTGGGACTACAGGTGTGTGCTACCATGCTAGACTAATTTTTTAATTTTTATTTTAGCAGAGATGGGGCCTCACTATGTTGTCCAGGTTGGTCTCCAACTCCTGGGCTTAAGAGTTCCTCCCCTCCACGGTCTCCCAACACGCCGGGATTACAGGTGTAAGCCCAGCTGATGTCAGATATTTCTATCACTTTTTTTAGTTAGTGTAGGAAACCAGCAAGGAGTTCAGAAATGCCAAAAGCTGATAAAATGTTTCTTTTTAAATACCTTCACAGATCCAATGAGGTGCAAAATGTTTTTTATGCAACCTGAATACCAACCCTGAGTCCTCCTCCTTGGTTTCTAAAAGAATAAACCAACTTCTTAGTAATCATAGAACTCTTGGCTTAATTTTTCACTTTCATTTCAGATAAAAGAATTAAAGTAGGTTAGCATACCACAATATTACAAACACAACACAGAACACTTACATGTTTTGGAGTGTTCATGTGATAGCATGTAATTGGCAAGAGGTGGTGTGTAAGTTAAACACTGCAGTGCTGCATTGGCAAAACAGGTATTGCCCAAATTCTGGAGGCCAGCTCCAACTCTATGAGTTTGTTGCCACTTAAGACAAATCTTCTCAGATGGGAAAAGAACTTTCTGTGGAGGAGTGATGCCATCACCTACAGCTAGAAAAATAAACAAAAAAGAGTCAGAAACCAATCTTTGCATACTGAAGCTAAATAAATAGCAACACTTGGTCAAACCTCAATCTGTTCAAGATCTGCAATCTCATGACCAGCCTGCCTAAATACAGGGGGAAGAGGGACATTTTAAAAGACCCAGAATATGAGGAATTTTCAATGATCCAGTTTCTCCAATAAACAAACTGGAAGGACAAAAAGGGGAGAGGGCTACAGATTAAAAGAAACTTGAGAGATATATCTACCAAATGCAAAGTGTAGACCTCGTTTGGATGTTGCTCTGAACAGCTGCTTAAATACATACACACACACACGTATATACACAGATATATACACACATATATGTATTATTTATTTTTATTTATTTTTACTTTTTTCAGCCAACTAGATTTTTTTTTCTTGTATATTTTTTTAAATGTATTTTTTTAATATACACACACATTTAGGGCCAGGTGCAGGGGCTCATGCCTGTAACTCCAGCAATTTGGGAAGCCAAGACAGGTGGATCACGAGGTCAGGCTGGACCAGCCTGATCAATGTGGAGAAATCCCATCTCTACTAAAAATACAAAATTGGCCGGGTGGGGTGGCACATGCCTATAATCATAGCTACTCAGGAGGCTGCGGCAAGAGAACTGCTTGAACCTGGGAGGCAGAGGTTGCAGTGAGCTGAGATCACGCCACTGCACTCCAGCCCAGGCAACAAGAGCTAAACTCTGTCTCAAAAAAAAAGAAAAAAAATATAATATATATATACACACACACACACACACACACACGTATTTTATGTATACATATATATTATATATGTGTGTGTGTATGTGTGTGTGTGTGAGTGTATGAACAACCACAGAAATATAAACACTGAATGGCTTTTTCACATAAAGACATTTTTCATTTTTAGGAAAAACTCTTTAGATGTAGAGACTAAAATACAAATGAAAGATGAAGTATTGGATTTAAGATAATGTTGTGGGAGATAAGTAGGTACAGGTATAACTGGCCATAAGTTGATTAATATCAAAGTTGTCTGATGGCTACATGAGACTTCATTATAATTACTCTTTTACACCTAGTTTCAACATTTTAAAAATAAGTTCAATCAATAAAAAGAATGGGATAAACCGATTCCTTGTAATAAAAAGAATGGGATAAACCGATTCCTTGTAATATCTGTCACGGATGCTACTTCAGTACCACCATCACTGTCATCCTTATCATCTCATTTGGGAGCCCTTACCAGGCCAAATAGTTGCAATTCTAATGGTTAGTACTGATGTCATCCCCATTTTACTGCTAAGGAAGCAGGCTTTGAACTCAGGCTGTCAGGCACCACTATACACATTTGTGAGCAGACTGTCTGTGACCTAAAAGGTTTTATCCATTTTGAAGATTATCAACAGATTACTAATAACTAAGAATGTTAACAGAACTAAGGTGAAGTTCAAGACACAACTTATTTAGGAAAGCTGAAAATCATCAATGGCAAAAGTGACTTTTTTTAAAGGTTTTGTAGCAGTCCCCCAGTGCTCTAACAAAAGGCTGAGATGCCATGTGGAATCATTCTTCATTTGAACAGATATTAGTGGTTATTTAGGCAGGCATAGGCAGGCTGCAGCTTGCTGGGGAATGGACAGCAAAATTAGGACAAGAGAAAGGATTCTGTAGAGAATGAGATGAGAGCCCCAGAAAAGGGCAGAGTGGGGAGATGTGAGTTAAGCCCTAAGAAGAGAGAGGAGCCCCAGCAACATGACAGGAGGTTGAAGGCTGTGGAGAAAGAGGTCCTGTGAAAAAGTGCTGCTGGAGAGAAGCCAAAGGACTCTACACCTCTCTGCAACATTTGATCAGGTTGTGTTTGATGATATAAACTTTCCCCTACCCAACACATCTTCAGCAAACCAAACTGCAACACCCACTCCCACATCACAATATGAAACTTACTAAGGGGACTCAAAACAACATGACCATCAAATTACTGGTAGCTAGGGGATGTCCAATATTTTGGCTTCCCTGAGCCACATCGGAAGGAGAATTGTCTTGGGCCACACAGAAAATACACTAACACTAATGATAGCTGATGAACTTAAAAAAAAAAAAAAATCGTGAAAAAAATCTCATAATATTTTAAGAAAGTTTATGAATTTGTGTGTTTGGCCACATTCAAAGCTGTCCTGGGCTAAATGCTCTAAGCCAAACAACAACCCAACTAGGAACAAATTATATTTATTACCTTTCTTTGTATTTCAGATCTTCATGTCCTCATATCCAAAAGCCTTGAAAGTAATACCTTAAAGTGTTAATGTCTCATTTATCTGAATGAGTTTTAACAAATGTAACTACATTTGTATCATTACACTAATGTTTGTATTATACTCTCTTTTTTTATTTTTATTTATTTATTTATTTTTTGAGCTGGAGTTTCGCTCTTGTGACCCAGGCTGGAGTGCAATGGTGTGATCTTGGCTCACTGGAACCTCCTGGGTTCAAGTGATTCTCCTGCCTCAGCCTCCCAAGTAGCTGGGATTACAGGCACACGCCACCATCTCCAGCTAACTTTCATATCTTTACTGAAGATGGGGTTTCACCATCTTGGCCAGACTGGTCTCAAACTCCTAATCTCAGGTGATCCACCCACCTCAGCCTCCCAAAGTGCTGGGATTACAGGTGTAAGCCATCGTGCCCAGCCTGTTTTCTTTTTTTTGGAGACAGAGTCTCGCCTTGTCACCCAGGCTAGAGTGCAATGGCGTGATCTTGGCTCACTGGAACCTCCACCTCCTGGGTTCAAGTGATTCTCCTGCCTCAGCCTCCCAAGTAGCTGGGATTACAAGCGTGTGCAACCATACCCAGCTAATTTTTTGTATCTCCAGTACAGACGGCATTTCACCATGTTGGCCAGGCTGGTCTCGAACACCTGACCTCGTGATCGACCACCCTGGCCTCCCAAAGTGGGATTGCAGGCGTGAGCCACTACGACTAGTCTGTTTTCTTTCAAAGAGCTTTATTACTACAAATGATTTTTAATTGCCAGGAAAAAAACAAAAAACAAAAAACAAAAAAATGCTGGGTAAACATTTATCAAAGGACAACCATTTTACAAAAACATCTTTAAATTTGTAAAAGTCATCTACTTAGGAAACTAGACTATCTACTGGTAAATAAGTTAATGTAATACTTGCCCATCTCAATTCTCACCAAGATAAAGTCTATCCTTAAAAAAACTGGAATATAATAAACTACTAATATTCTAGTAACTAAAAATAATCTACTCTGTAGTGATACATAAGTTAATTGTGAACAAGTAACTGGAAAACAAAGCCCATCAAGTAATGCAACTCTGCTGGCCACTCGGGTGGCCTCCTGCCTTCCAAAGTGAGCCTGTCTCTGAAACCACCAACCCACCAACAGCATTTACACAGGAGTTTCTGGCAGTAATTCTCTCTTCAAAAACAATACCTTGATCCTTTTGTGGTGATGGTTTTGATTTATCAGGTACAGATGAACTTGAATAAACTACAGCACCAGGTACTGGTCCTAAAGCAAGTGTGTGATTTGACACATCATTTAAGGAAGACACAGCACCCCAGCTGGCAGAACCTGCATCCATGTCTCCAGGTGAGACTGCTTCAGAGCTGCCAGGCTGATTCTGATAGGCTGATGGGTCTGAAGATTCAGAAGCTTTGTCAACTATGGTCATTGTTCAACTCTGCAAAAGACGAAAAGCACATATTTGTTTCATCAGGTTTCAAGAAAAGCAATCTACTTTCCTTACCATTAGATCTTGGAAAATCATTTCAGCCATTATGAAGTTATTTTCAAATGTATCACCCAAATATAAAAACAACAGCACTTTTTAACATTTCTGTAATAATCTCCTTGGGACATTTAGCATTATGCTAATCTGAATGTCAACAATTTTTATTTTAAAATCTTCAGTGACGTATCTGATTAGAACTTCTCATTTTATTTCATGCTCCCTAAAAGTCTGGCATTTCAGTTTATAATGGGGCATTTCAATTTTCAATTCTATTTATTTACTAAGTACCTATATTTTCCCACTCTACTGCTTAAAACTAGAAAAATTATACATAGTAATACACTCTACCAAATCTTCAATTTGAGTAAATTCCTCAGAGAAAAGCATCAACTACACAGAGAAAATCTAGACTTAATTTTGTGCTTAAAACATAAATGGCATCATGTGAAATACATTACATTTTTAAAAATTATAAAGATCTCACCTTTAAAACAAACCATTTTTCCGAAGAGGCTCATTTATATGGAATGTATGACTTTTTTTTTTCTTTCTTTTTTTTTTTTTTTTTGAGATGGAGTTTCATTCTTGTTACTCAGGCTGGAGTGCAATGGCATGATCTTGGCTCACAGCAACCTCCGCCTCCTGGGTTCAGGCAATTCTCCTGCCTCAGCCTCCTGAGTAGCTGGGATTATAGGCACGTGCCACCATGCCCAGCTAATTTTTTTTGTATTTTTAGTAGAGACAGGGTTTCACCATGTTGACCAGGATGGTCTCAATCTCTTGATTTCATGATCCACCTGCCTCGGCCTCCCAAAGTGCTGGGATGGCTTGAGCCACCACGCCTGGCCAGAATGTATGACTTTTTAAATGAAACCCATAAGCCACAGTGACATCAAACTTGGAACAGAAATACCTGTTACAAAATTACTCTATTATAATTTTCTCTGAGTCCTATTTTAAAATATTAGTGCTACCACTCTAATTGAACATTTTCTATGTGTTGGGCATTGCATCAACTGTTAGACATACATTAACTTAATTTTCATAAGGAACCTATGAGAGATGAGACAGAATCCCCAGAGTCTGTAAAATGAAGAAACTGTGACCCCAACCAGTCTGCAACCAGTCAGCAACTGGGACTGACCAACATGGTAAAACCCCATCTCTACTAAAAATGCAAAAGTTAGCTGGGCATGGTGGCAGACGCCTGTGATCCCAGCTACTTGGGAGGCTGAGGCAGGGAAAACTGCTTGAGTCTGGGAGGCGAAGATTGCAGTGAGCCGAGATTGCACCACTACACTCTAGCCTGGATGACAGAGTGAGACTCTCTCAAATACAAGAAGGAAAGGGGAAAGGTAAGGAAAAGAAAAAAGAAAACCTTTCAGGAGTGGTCTAACTGCCCACAGCACTACATCTTAATGCCTGGACTTGGCACTGTCTGACCTAATAACCTCTCCAAACACTATGTCATGTTCCCACCATGCTGAAGTCTTTTTTCTTTTTCTTTTTTTGGTCCCTGCTCTTTCTTTCATCCTTCCGCCTCCAGCCAGTTAACATTTCCACTTCTCAGTTTATAATTTCCTTCCTCTGCGACACTTTCCTTGACACCACCATTCCCCTGCAAAGCACTCTGCACTGATTTCTATGGTAGCGTGCTAGCATCTACGCCACAGCTGTTTTCCTTGCTGCGGTCTACCATGTTCTTATTTACATCCTCTGACCTCATATAGAGACAGCTTTCCATACATATGAAGAACAAATTAATGAACAAAGTCTGGAAACAAAACAACTAGCGTTTGATTTCAGCACCAGCTTGTGCTGAGTGATTTATATTCAGTATCTCATTTGACCCTAAAAAACTCTTAGAGTAGAAACAGCCCTTAAAATTTGTTTTAAAAAATATTTGATACTGTAAAGTACAAAAAAGTATGATCTATGCTATGAAGTAGGGATAATAAAATACCCATGTGTTTGCCACTTAAATGAACAAATGAAACCATGCATTGGCTGCTCTCAAAAAGTTAGCAGGGTTTTTTTTTTTTTTTTTTTTTTGAGAGACAGGGTCTCATTATATTGCCCAGGCTGGTCTTGAATGCCTGGCCTGAAACAATCCTCCTGCCTCTGCCTCCCAAAATGCTGGAATCACAAGCATGAGCCACAAAGCCAGGCCAAGTTTGTTTTTAAAAAGCCTCAATTTTGTTGTTTCTAGGTTTTTTTGTTTTTTTTTTTTTTTGAAACAGAATCTTGCTCTGTCACCCAGGGTGGAGTGCAATGGCGCCGTCTCAGTTCAGCACCTCCAGGGTTCAAGCAACTCTCCTGCCTCAGCGTCCTGAGTAGCTGCGACTACAGATGCGTGCCACCACACTCAGCTAATTTTTTATGTACTTTATTAGTAGAGACAGGATTTCACTATGTTGGTCAGGCTGGTGTAATTTTTAATTAGGGTAAAATTATCATCCAAAAAAATATAATCTTAAAGTTTTTGAACTCACCTAAAAATAGAAAATATGATTGTTATATTTTGATGAACTAATAAAAAAACAGAATTGAAATTTTATATCAATCAAAGATACATGACCCTTGATCAGGAAGAGAGCTTGACCCTTATAATCCAAATACAGTTTATATTTTTCCTCACCTAACAGTTAAAAAAATTATGAAACAGTGTGGGGAGAGAAGAAAAAAATGCAAGAAGAAAAGGAAAAAGAGCCCGGGCACAGGAGCTCATGCCTGTAATCCCAGCACTTTGGTTTTTTTTTGAGATGGAGTTTGCTCTTGTTACCCAGGCTGGAGTGCAATGGTGCGATCTCGGCTCACCGCAACCTCCGCCTCCTGGGTTCTGGCAATTCTCCTGCCTCAGCCTCCTGAGTAGCTGGGATTACAGGCACGTGCCACCATGCCCAGCTAATTTTTTGTATTTTTAGTAGAGATGGGGTTTCACCATGTTGACCAGGATGGTCTCGATCTCTTGACCTCGTGATCCACCCACCTCGGCCTCCCAGTGCTGGGATTACACGCTTGAGCCACCGCGCCCGGCCCAATCCCAGCACTTTGGAAGGCCAAGGTGGGCAGATCACCTGAGGTTGAGAGTTTGAGACCAGACTGATCAACATCGAGAAATCCCGTCTCTACTAAAAATACAAAATTAGCCAGGCATGGTAGCGCATGCCTGTAATCCCAACTACTCAGGAGGCTGAGGCCAAAGAATCGCTTGAACCCGGGAGGTGGAGGTTGCGGTGAGCCAAGAGTGCGCCATTGCACTCCAGACTAGGCAAGAAGAATGAAACTCTGTCAAGAAAAGAAAAGAACAGAAAAGAAAAGAAAGAAGAAAACCCAAACAGTTATAAGAAATGGTTAATCCAGCCTTATTTACAGTAACACTCAACAGCAGCAAAAACCTTGATTTTCAAGGGATAAACATACCTTCAGAACAATCATTAACAAATGACCAAATGAAACCATTTTACTTGCTCCAATTACCTTTTAGAAGAGACGAAAGCCTCTTAAATGAAAAAAAAAAAAAAAATTTAAGGAAAGTACAAGTCATCAGTAAACCTACAGCATTATAATTGTGGAAAACAAACCAAAACTATCCATTCATCTTCATTTGTATATTCAGCCAATGAAGTCTTGACCTAAAACCACCACGTATCAAACTGAACTCCAACTGCTACACACATAACCTTTCTTGAAGCCAAACAATGTTACACAGAACTTAAGATTCATATGCTTACATGTTCTTTACTCTCAGCAAAGCTCCTTTTTTTTTCTTAAGATGGGGTTTCACCATGTTGGTCAGGCTGCTCTTGAACTCCCGACCTCAGGTGATCCACCAGCCTTGGCCTCCAAAGTGCTTGGATTACAGGCATAAGCCACCATGCCTGATAAATATCAGGACTTTTAAGCAACATCTTCTGATGATATACAAAACTAACAAGAGCATTAAAAACAGTAGCAACAACCACCACTTACACGCGTGGCATGGTGGCTAAAACCTGTAATCTCAACACTTTGGGAGGCCAAGGCAGGAGGATGGCTTGAGCCCAGGAGTTCCAGACTAGCCTGGGCAACAGTGAGAAACTTTTTAATTTTTTTCTTTGGCTATGGAGTCTCACTCTGTCAGCCCAGGCTGGAGTACAGTGTCGTAATCTCCGCTCACTCTCCTGGGTTCAAGCAATTCTCTGCCTCAGCCTCCCAAGTAGCTGGGATTACAGGCACCTGCCACCATACCGGGCTAATTTTTGTATTTTTGGTAGAGATGGGGTTTCACCACCTTGGCCAGGCTGGTCTCAAACTCCTGATCTCAAGTGATCCACATGCCTCGACCTCTCATAGTGCTGGGATTACAGGTGTGAGCCACTGTGCCCAGCTGAGACCCTGTCTCTTTAAGAAAAAAAAAAAAATTAGCTGAATATAGTGGCATGTGCCTGTAGCCCCACCTACTTGGGAGGCTGAAGTGGGAGGACTGCTGGAACTCAGGAGATTGAGGCTACAGTGCGCTACAATTGCGTCACCGCACTCCAGTCTAGGCAGCAAAGGGAGATCTTGTCTCAAAAAAACATGAACATGAATCAAGGTTGGGTAAGTGTGGAGGAATGAGACTTCTCAAGTGTTTCCTTTACTACAATCTTGTACTCAAAGCCTTAAAATTCCCAGTCTTTTGTATGGTACGTCTCCCTTGTTATGAAATGCTAGAATGCATTATTCTTTTTTCATTTGTAAAAAGAGTATCACTATTTAGCCACTGTGGCACTCTACAAACATTGAGGTAATAGTATCAACACATTTAAAAAGAAAGTGTTACACTCTGCTTCTTCGTAAACAATGCAACCCACGTTCTTATACCATTTCTGTTATAAGAAAACACGCTTTAAAAAGACACAACCTTGACCTCAATCATACTTAAGTAAACAAAACGACTAGCCTTAAGCGTTACAAACCAAATACTAACTGTAGGCTTCATTCAAAGATACAGAAAAGAAAGTGAAACTGGCCCTAATTTAAAGCAAATAAGTGAAACTGATTATTCATATCCCCTAGGCACTTTGAATGAGTAACACGGTAAAAAGAATCAGGTTTAAAATTTACAACTCTTCAAAACCTTTTGAGAGGACACCAAAATGAGATCCTAGGATTCTGTGGTTACCTTGAAAAGGAGGCGTTAACTAGTTTATCAAACAGTTTTGCTGTCAGGGTATTGACTTTACATAACCAACACGTTTTCCCATAAACAAGTGACCCCACGGCCTCCTAAGAGCCATTCAACAAAAGTCATCTCCACTGAATGCATGTTAGAGGGATTAAAGTCCTAGATGGGAAAACTCTCGTCCAATTTTCATTTCCAACATCTGCAACCGATCATCACCCCGTTCCAGGTAAGTTGGCTCTTACTGCTCCTAAGATAAAGAACGCGAGGGAGGCACACATGCTTTTGGGGACGCGCCACCCGGCTCCTCCTCTCCCCTCGGGTTGGCCGATGAGCCCGGCGTGGGCACCTCGGACGCTCGGCGGAGCAGCCAGCCAGGTGGCCAGGCCCGGGGAGGGGGCGCCCAGGGTGGGAAAGTTTGTCTCTGTTAGGGATGCAGTGGGGGCGGGGTGGCCGGCCCGGGGCTCTGAGGGGCGCTCCGGGCCGGGAGGTGGCAGCCACGCGGGGGGCGGCGGGCGGGCCGGGGACGCCCGGCTCCGCCGTCAGCGGCCAGCACACGCCCACCCTGGCCGCCCCGAGCCTCCCCGCTGACCCGCCCGGCCTCCGGGCCGAGGGGGCGGGCTGGGGCCGAGTGGGGGTGGGAGCGCAGTGTCCATGGCAACCAGGGGGCCCGGCCTCCCCGCGCAGCCCAGCTCCCGCGGCGCCCGCCCGCCGCGGCCGCCGCCCCCTCCCCAGCGTCCTGGCCCTGGCGGGCGGTGGCGGCGCAATTCCCGGTGCGACGGGGTCCCGGGCGGCCCATGGCTGTGAAGGGGGAGGCGGGCGAGGGGCCGCGCCAGCCCCTGGCGGGCCGCGCCGGCTGAGAGGCGGCCGGTCCAGGGGCGGCCCAGACTAGCTGGACGCTGCGCGGGCCCCATGCCGACCTGCGGCGGGCGGGAAGAAGGCGGGAGCTTACCTGACCCGGCTCGGCGCTCGCTCCATCCCCCTCGGCCGCCGCCGCCGCCGCCGCCGCCGCCGCACACAGCCCAGCCGCCCGGCGGGGGACAATGACGTGCCTCCATCCGGGCACCGCCGCCGCCGCCTCCGGGTCAGCGCCGCGCCCGCCGCGCCCCGCCGGGCCGCCAGGGGGCGCGCCAGGACCGCGCCCGAACGCGCCGCCGCCCAGGGGCCGTCGCACAAGAAGCGCGGCGCGCAGCTAACGGGCGCGATGAGTGCGGGAGGTGCGGTCGCCCAAGAGCCGTGGGCGAAGGCCGGCGTCGTGCGTCACCAGAGCGCCGGTCGGGCCGGCGGAGGGAGCGCGCTGATTGGCTGGGCTGGCCGCGCGTCTGCGCGCCGGAAGAAGGGTTCTTTCCGTCCTGTTTTCCCGGGGGCAAAGCTGAACAGTGCGCGGCGGATGTAGCACCCCTGGCTTGTGCCTTGTCCTGCGATTGATCCCCGATGCCTTTCCAGAAGCCGGACATCTAGGGCCGTAGAGTCTGAAGTCCCCTGCCCCTGAAAACGGACACCGCTCCGAGAAAACCTCCTGTTGGTGGGCTTCGCCCCCTGCAACCACCTTGCGCCTCCCTTGGCCTAGTGGAAGCAGACTTTATTTTTTGTTCCTTAGAAACGGTCTGGCCGGGCGCGGTGGCTCACGCCTGTAATCTCAACTTGGAAGGCCGAGGCGGGGGAATAACGCAATCAGGAGTTCGAGACCAGCCTGGCCAGCATAGTGAAACCCCGTCTTTACTAAAAATACAAAAAATTAGCTGGGCATGGTGGTGCGCCCCTGTAGTCCCACCTACTCAGGAGGCTGAGGCAGGAGAATTGCTTGAACCTGGAAAGTGGAGGTCGCAGTGAGAACAGATTGCGCCATTGCACTCCAGCCTGGGCGACAGAACAAGACTCCATCTGAAAAAAAGAAAAAGGAAGAAAAAAAACTGGCTCTGTCGCCCAGGCTGGAGTGCAATGTCAGGACCTAGCTCACTGCAGCCTCTACTTCACAGGCTCAAGCGATGCTCCCGCCTCAACCTCCCTAGCAGCTGGGACTACAGATGCGCGCCACCACGCCCACTTAATTTTAGGGTTTTGTTTGGTTTTGGTTTTTGATTTGGTTTTGCTTTGTAGAGATGGAAGTTTCACGGTGTTGCCTGGGTAGGTCTAAAACTCCTAGGCTCAAGCAGCCCTCCCTCCGTGGCCTCCCAAAGTGCTGGGATTACAGGCATGAGCCGCTGCACCCAACTAATTTTTTTTTTAAGGTTTTTTTTTTTTTTTTTTTGGTGCCGTGACTCGGAACCAAAAAGTGTTTTAAGTGTTTTTGCAGAGACAGCAGTCTTACTATGTTGCCCAGGCTGGTTTCCAACTTGTGAGCTCAAGCGATCCTCCAACCTTAACCTCCCAAACCGCTGAGATTACAGTTAGGAGCCACTGCCCATGACCTGATGCAGCCTTTAAGTACACTTGACCCCACCGGGGCTCCAATGTCCATCAGACTCACACACTGAACTGAGTTACAGAAAGGGATTATTATTATTATTATTATTATTTTTGAGACTGAGTTTTGGTCTTGTTGCCTAGGCTGGAGTATAATGGCACGATCTCAGCTCACTGTAACCTCTACCTCCCAAGTAGCTGGGATTACAGACGCCCGATACCACATACAACTTTTTTTTTTTGAGACGGAGTTTCGCTCTTGTTACCCAGGCTGGAGTGCAATGGCGCGATCTCGGCTCACCGCAACCTCCGCCTCCTGGGTTCTGGCAATTCTCCTGCCTCAGCCTCCTGAATAGCTGGGATTACAGGCACGCGCCACCGTGCCCAGCTAATTTTTTGTATTTTTAGTAGAGACGGGGTTTCACCATGTTGACCAGGATGGTCTCGATCTCTTGACCTCGTGATCCACCCGCCTCGGCCTCCCAAAGTGCTGGGATTACAGGCTTGAGCCACCGCGCCCGGCCCAACTAACTTTTTATATTTAGTAGAGATGGAGTTTCACCATGTTGGTCAGGTTGATCTCGACCTCCGGTGGGGAATTTTAAACCTGGCTCCGAAAGGGATAGACCCCTATTCACCCACCCCATCAAGACTTTATCTCAAATCCTAGCATTCAGCCGGGCACCGTAGCTCACACCTGTAATCCCAGCACTTTGGGAGGCCAAGGTGGGTGTATCATGAGGTCAAGAGATGAGACCATCCTGACCAACGTGGTGAAACCCCATCAATACTAAAATATACATAAATTAGCCAGGCGTGGTAGTGTGTGCTTGTGGTCCCAGCTACTTGGGAGGCTGAGGCGGAAGAATCACTTGAACCAGGAGTCAGAGGTTGCAGTGAGCCAAGATTGCACCACTGCACTCCAGCCTGGTGTCAGAGCGAGACACCGTCTAAAAAAAAAAAAAAAAAAAAAAGTACCACTTACTCTAGAAAACTGGCAACATTAATGGAAAAATCTAAAAGCATATGAAGACATTCTTGCCTACAAACAGCTGGGTCTTTGGCTGAGATGATGAACAAACTGGCCCCCAAAACTTGTTCTCTTCCAGATCAGAGTTTAATGCAGAGTGAATGCTGCCTGGAATAGATTTCACTTTGCTTCTGTTCTTATAAGCTGTGTAACCCACAGAAATTACTTAGCCTGTTTCCTTTACCAATATGGTTTTTATGCAAAGTGCAAACTGATTGCAAGTGCTCCAACCCCCAAGTCTGGACGATCACAGGATCATGGAGCAGTAAGTGTCAAAGAGGGGTGAATTTTATTTTCTGATGACCTCCAGGGTTAGGGAGCCTGCAACGGGCACTGTTAATGCTCCACCCAGGTCCTTGTTACTGGCCGATGCTCCCATCCCTTCTAAGCTGCTATGGTGTTCACTGCCTCTAACCCACAGCTGCCTCTTCTCCTGAGTCTGTTCTTAGCTGAAGGGGAGACTCATCTCCCACGGAGACGATATTCTTGTTTCACTCCTCTTGCTGCCTTCTCTTTTCATTACCTTCCTCCCTAGAGCGCACCCGTCAAGGCCAGATTGCACCTAAATCATGTGCACCTTAATTCTGTCTCAAGCCCCACATCTAGATATCCTGGTTAAGACAGTGGGTACTGGCCAGGCTCAGTGGCACGCAACTATAGTACCAGCCCTTTGGGAGGCCGAGGCAGGTAGATCACTTGAGGTCAGGAATTCAAGACCAGGCTGGCCAACATGGTGAAAACCCTTCTCTACTAAAAATACAAAAAATTAGGCTGGGCACGGTGGCTCACACCTGTAATCCCAGCACTTTGGGAGGCTGAGGTGGGCGGATCACGAGGCCAAGAGACTGAGATCATCCTGGCCAACATGGTGAAACCCCGTCTCTACTAGAAATACAAAAATTAGTCGGGCGTGGTGGCACACACCTGTAGTCCCAGCTACTCAGGAGGTTGAGGCAGAATTGCCTGAACCTGGCAGGCAGAGGTTGCAATGAGCTGAGATGGCGCCACTGCACTCCAGCCTGGTGACAGAGTGAAACTCCATCTCAAAAACAAAAACACAAAAATTAGCTGAGTGTGGTGGTGCACACCTGTAGTCCCAGCTACTAGGGAGGCTGAGGCAGGAGAATTGCTTGAACCTGGGAGGCGGGCTTGCACCACTGCACAACAGTCTGGGGCAACAGAGCAAGGCTCCCATCTAAAAAAAAAAAAAGACAGTGGATACCAAGAATGGTCCCTAAGAAGCAGAGTATAAGAATGTCCAGGCCAGCTGGGTATGGTGGCTCATGCCTGTAATCCCAACACTTTGGGAGGTGATCAAGAAATAGAAACCATCCTGGCCAACATAGTGAAATCCCGTCTCAACTAAAAATACAAAAATTCGCTGGACATGGTGGTGTGCACCAGTAGTCCCAGCTACTCGGGAGGCTGAAGCAGGAGAATTGCTTGAACGTGGGAGGTGGAGGTTACAGTGAGCCGAGATGGCATCACTTCACTCCAGCCTGGCAACTGGAGTGAGACTCCATCTCAAAAAAAAAAAATAATAATAATCCAGGCAATG